CTTTTAAAAAAAAAAAAAAAAAGAAAATGGGGGCGTACATGAGAAGTAATTGGGCAAGAACCAGCAGGTGCTTGGAACATACAACAGCCAATACCAAAAAGAAAAATTAGAATGTGAGTTCATACAGTGAAGGATCACTTGCAAATTATCAAAAAAATGTGAAAGCTGAATTTTCAAACATTTAACAAATATTCCCATGAACTTGGTTATCACCCACCCAGTACAGCAGGAGAGTCAGGTATATACACAACCAAATGTAATAGTATGTGTGAAAGGGACGGATGAACTGGTTGCTAGGAGAACTGAAGGGGAGACGGAGGACAACCAGGGAAGACCACAGAGAGAAGCCAATCACTGAGCTGGCACTGAATGAGGAGGTTCCCCACACAGGGCAAGGGAAGGATATCCAAAGCATGAAGGTGAGAAAGTCCTCACATGTTCAGGAAATGGCAGTCATTCCAGGCAAGGGTCGGGGTGTGGAGGGACGACGGGTTTAGAAAGGTGGAAGTCAGAATGTAAAAAGCTTTAAATGACTTGATAAACATGGTGCTTTTATCCCTTAGGGAAGGGAGCTGGTGGAGACAGATGTGCCTTGAGATGGTGGTGGGAGAGAAGGGGAAGAACGCCAACAGTGTCAGTGACAAGTTGAGAGAGGATCCTGCTCAAATAGAGGGACTAGATGCACAGCCAGAAATGGGCTTCATGAGAGAAGATCTGACGATGAATCAAAGCTGTTTCCTCCTGGAAGACTAGACAGATGGTCCTGTCATCACAAAGAGAATCATTGGAAGAAGGTAACTGCCCATGTCAGCTTAGTAACTACTTTTGTTTTGTGGGTCACAGAGTTTAAGGTGACTGTAGGACAGGCAAGTGTAGATGTTGTGTAACACGCAAAAATATGGAGTTCATGAGAGTCAGAGTGGGAGCAGTAAAGCATGCAGGTGGCAGCTCAGCTGTTCTCATAACAAATAGGGGCCTACTCTATGCAATGTACCGTCTCCTAGGTGCTGGTGGGGGGGGATGGGGGGAGCAGCCAGGTGGGCAAGGGAAAAACTAATCAGGAGATTACACCACAGTATTAACAGAAGACAGTAATTATCTCCTAACCAGGTTCCACAGGAACCTCCAACACAACAAAGTGCAACAGGGAGACCCGCATTTACCTGCCGTTCCTGTCTATTACCAGGTCGGGGAATGGCACCTAGTTGGCCAAGGTACGGGAAATGGCAGCTAGTTGGCCAAGGTAGAAATCTGGGTGTTATCCTCTCCTTTCTTGCAGCGTCCCCCCACACCCCCATCAACCCCTATGGATTCTTCCTCCTAATATCATGAGAATTCAACTCTTTCTCTCCACTTGCCTGCCACTGCCTTACTGTAAGCCAGCATCATTTTCCAGATCAGAACTAGTCTCCTAACCTCTAATTTTACCTGCCCTTCCAATGCATCCTTCACCCTGAGAAATGCACTAAATGGAACAAAGAGGGTCATTTTTTATAAGTATGGAATACTTAAAATATCTGGGTAACTTTAGTAAAAGGCAAAAGATTTATACGATCTGAAGAGAAACCAGAGTATTGGGTAACTTTATAATAATCAAGAAAGTAAAATCCATAATAAAGATATAAATGTCATGAGCCAAATAATAAAAAATTATATAACACAGAAAAGAAAAACTATGAAATACAAGGAGAAATTTAAAACAGTACAGTTTTGAGAGATATTAAAATATCTCAGTGACTGACAGAATTAATCCAAAATGAATAAACAAAAAAATAAAGATATGGAAGAACCAAGCAATTTAATAAGGTTGAGCTGACAGGGCTATCAAATCCTATATCATGCAATCAGACTGTACCAGTATTTTGTGTTGACAAGAGACATGGACTCCATCCTCATAAAACACATACCAGCTGAATGGGCAAAGAAATCAAAATCATCATTTTGGGGGCCGGCCCGGTGGCGCACTCGGTAGAGTGCGGCACTTGGGAGCGCGGTGGCACTCCCGCCGAGGGTTCGGATCCCATATAGAGACCGGTCTGCTCACTGGTTCAGCGCGGTGCGGGCGTGACACCGAGGGTTGCGATCCCGTTACCAGTCACAAAAAAAGACAAAAAGGAAAAAAAACAAATCATCATTTTGGAATATTAAAAAAAAAAAAAAAAAAAAGAAAATCTTTGGG